ATACAAACCCGAAACATGCACCTCTGTGTGTTTTGTTGCTGCTTGATGAGTGAGCTCTGTGTGAGCCACCAAGCCCTTCACACAGCAGCACTTCTCTCCCGGCTTCTGACACCACACAGGGATGTCTCAAGGCCCTGCCTCTGTGCTTTACTGCACAACTGAAATGTTTTAAGAATATGCCGCTGTATCGCTGCAGTTGACATCGTTCACACATACACAAACACCCCTATTTACACAACTTTGGAAAACTTTAGCCATTATACGCAAGGTCTGCCAAACGAGCCCACTGATTTCTGAAGTGGCACTGTGGAAAAAAGGAAATATACAACATCCCATTGTATGGGATGGAAAGCCAAGTGCATCCTGGCTTCTCTTTCCAAAGTAATTTTTGTTCTGGGAGGTAAATTAATTAATTAAATAATTGACTGAAGCCTTTGGAGTGTGATCTGTACACTTCCAAGGGGGAAATCTACCCAAGGGATTGATAGGTATGCTTCCTGAAGTGTTATCTCCCAAGGTGATAGGAGTGCTTAGCAGATAAAAGAGGACTAAATGAACTTTCTAATGCCAACTGAGGAAAAAAATGTATTTGTTATTGCTATCATCATGCAAAGCTCTGACCTTTATTGCCACAAGATATTTTAAGGCCTCCAAGAACTGCAGGGATATGTGGATACTTTGGACTAAAAATACAATCAAAGATGCAAAAAATATGTCCAAAGAGATTTTTTTTTTTTTTTTTTTTTGCTGTTGAGCAGAAGAAGTTCGGCAGGAAATGACCGCGAACAGTTGTTGGCCACATATTAAAAACCACTGGCGAGGGAACAAGCACTGGCAGTTCCCACTTGTCAACAAAACCAAGCTGACAAGTGAAGGCGACTAACTTGGGACATCCGCTATTATTTTCTACAAGTATTTTCTACTGCTAAGGCACTTGTGGCCTTACCAGTGAAACTGATGGGCTCCACTTTGTTTCTCTTGTCGCTTTCCCCGGTGCATAAACGCAAAAAAAAAAAAAAAAAGGAAGAAAAGCAGCAGTTACATAAGTTGAGCGGAGAGTCGGGAACGTGCAGGGAGAGACAGCCATCTGTCTCGCTCCCTTTATGCTGTGTTATACACATGGCACTGGCTTGCACCCTGCCATCTAGCCGAGAAGGAAGCCGAGGGAGCGCTGCGGCAGCCCAGTTCAGCCTCCCAGCAGAACCGAGACGGAGCAGGGAGCCGCAGGGAGGAGGGAGGAAATAATGCGTTTAGCAGAGGATGCGAGACTGCCGACCAAAGGGCCCCTTGCGCGCTCATCGCTGAATGAATTAAAGTTCCCGGCGAGGAGGCCGGGGGAAGCGGGGCGAGCGACACGAGTGTGGCAGGAGGGAAGGGGCCGGGGTCGCCAGCCTGCCGGGGCTCGGCGGGCACACCCGGCGGCAGAGGGGGCGCGGGCCGGGCGCGGCCGCTCCCGCCCCACGCGGCGCCGGGGCCGGCCCGCCCGGGGGTCGCTGCGGGGCCGGGCCGGGCCGGGCCGGGCCGTGCCCCGTCCCCGGCTGCGGGCGGCCGGCGCGGCCCGGGAAGCGGCCTGGAGAGCGGCGCTGGGAGCGATGCCCAGGGCTCACCTTCCCCTCCCCCCGGAGAAGAGCGCTTCAAAATGGTTTTGCAGGCGATGCTGGCCAGGCTGCGCTCGGTGCAGGGCTTCCAAGAGCAGTGCCTGGGTTGGTTTCCGTATATTCTTTGGCTTTTAATAGCTAGCTGAGGGAAAAAAAGAAAGCATTATTGTTTTCTTTCTTTCCTTCTCTCATTGCCTATTCTAAATTTGACTCCAAAGTTTAAGCAGTTGAATTGGCTAATTCTGAATACAGTCTATTGAGAGACCAGACACAGCAGTATATCCCTGTATAGCAATAGATACAATGTGCTGAATTGGCAGTCTAATTATAAATGTGGCATTTGGACCTCCTTTCAGACCCAGTGCCACCTTACCTTATGAGGGAACTTCAACTACAGCAACTGTTCAAAACAAAATGCCATTACAGGATCAGCTTCACCCAACACTGGAACCAGCCAGGGGATTGTTTTACAAACAGCCTTTCTCACTTAACACAAGAATGTATTATAAGGAAAAGTTATGGATAGTGCAGAGTCTGAAGAAAACGCGTATGTAGTTTCTGCCAGGTGTCGAGCTACTTCAAACTGCAGCATACTCTAAATGACCTCATTATTTTCTTTTAAATGTACTCACTATAAATAATTATTCCTTAGTTTTACTAGAATGAGCTGCTAGGTACGCTTGCTGTTTATATTCCGAGCGTAGTGTGCATGTAACGTCATGAGCACAAAAACCCACGAAATATCCTGGCTCAAAACAAAAACCTGCAATAAGATCTTGCCAAAGAATCATGGGGTGCTGAAAAAAAGTTTTTAAAGGGTCCTTTCCAGGGAAATGTTCGTATTTAATGGCAGGCTACGAGCACATATCTCACATTCATTCTTATTATTTACTTTATGGTATTATAATGGCTTAATTAAATGAGTGGGCACAAGCACGTCAATAAAACAAGTCAAGTCAAGTCGAAGTCTCAAAACAGGTTTCAAAATTGCTCCATTACACGAATACAGAAAGGGAAATTCGTTAATTTTTGGACTTCAAACTCTGTTTGAGGACTAGGTAGAACTGTTCTCCTGTCCTCACGATCAGCACTGAAGATGGAAATGGCAAAAAAATGTTAAAGTGAGGGCAAAAGAAAGCAGCAGGAACAAAGTGCCGCTCGTGTGCCGAAGGCTATTTAAATTTGCTTAATAAACATATACCTTATCTACGAACAGCAGGCGAAGATATATTACTTTATCACAGAAAGTTTCACCTCTCTGTTTTTGGGAAACACCCCTAGGACAGCACTAATCTGCCGCCCCCAGGCTCCCACCGGGCTGCCTTTCCCTGCGGCCCCCCTTCCCCCCAGCCCGGCCACTCAGACGCAGCACTAATTGTCCTTTCACGGTGCCACTTTCACTCCTTCCCGTCCTTTCGCACGTAACAAACCCGCAGCACACCGCACGGCCAGCCGGCCCGCAGGCAGCGGAGGCAGCGCCCGGCCGGACGGGCGGGAGCCCGGCAGTGACCCCGGGCCCCGCCGCACGGCTCGGGCCGCCGGCCCGGGGACGCGCTGCGGCGGCTCGGCCGGCGCTGCACGCCTGGAAGTACCTGCTCGCATCGCGCCTGGCTGCTCTCCCCGTCCCCTGCCTACACCCAGCCGCGACCCCGCCGCCGCTACACGCGTGCATGCATTACACGAGCGGGCAGCGCCGGTGCCCGCTCCTCCCCGGAGCAGGGCAAGCCGCAGAGGCGCTCTCATTAGCTCCCACTGATGATTCCTTTCAGGATCATGAATGGAACAATTGTCAAAAACTGCGGGAAAAAAAAACAAGCCCCGAGACTATTATATACAGACACAGCCTTGTGTGCGCGCATGTGACAGTTGCAGGCAACCCAGATTTGGCCATAAACTCTTCAGCGTTATCCGAGATAAACCATCAAATTGCGTGTACGGTAAAAAGAGGCTTCTTATCCCAAATCCAAAAAAATAAACAGCTTCCAAGGTAGTGAAACCCAGGGAAAGAACAAGCTCTCCACAAGACACACCTTGTCTCACTCGTATCCTGCAGCACCGCCTGCAAACAGCTGCGCTAGCTTGTTGCAACTGCCACTATTTTATTTTAAAAGAAGAATAACAGTAATAATAGTAAGTGAAATACTTCCTGAAAACTTACTTTGCATTTAGTTTAGGCACTATTCTTTTTTTCAGCTCGCAAAGGAAGCCGTTTTGTCCAGGTTAGGTATTGTCTACTTATGGATCAGCCTCTGGCTAAGGGTTTATTTTAATTTATGGCTTATGCATTCTTTTAAGGTCGATTTGCATGACCTCCGGCAAAGAGCTAAGGCAGCAAGAAATCCCAGGTCGACTGTTGCCACAAAGCGGCACGCATCTCCCCTTCCCCGGGTGTAAACAGAGCTCTCTGATGATGGACTGCCTTCTTCCCCCCTCCCTGTGTATCACGAATTAGGGCGCGATATCGATTTTAAAGTTTTCGGTATAACTTTATCCCGGGCTCTGCCGGGGGAGATAAGGCGGCGGCGGCTCCTGGGGACAGCGCCGCGCCGTGGCCGAGCGCGGCACGGCCGCCGCCGCTCCGCAGCTTTGTGTGCTCCCGCAGCCGTGCCCGGCCGGCTCCGAAGCGCTCACCCGCCTCAAACTTCGCGCAGAACCCGCAGGCACCGCTAAACTCCCCTCGCCTTTCTCCATCCCGCGTCTCTCGGGGTTACCCGCCAGGAGAAACCCACGCGGGCACTTCGGAGCAATGACAGCAGCGCTCCGCTCTCAAAGATTTATTTCGGATTTTATTTTTCCTCTCTTTCTCTCTTTCTCCCTCTCGTGTTAGCTCCTTACGTACAATATCTTCCCGCACCATGTGTTCGCCTGCCGTGGGTGATCTTAAAATACAACGCTGATCTGTCACTAGATTTTAAAATAAACTCTACTCGGAAAGGATGAGAAAGTGTTGTGATTTCAAGGTACTGGGGTCCCTTAACGTCTCGGAAACCTCGGGATTCAAACAACCCCGGAAACTCGCACGGGGACGAGACTATAACTACTTTTCCCTAAAGAGAAGGGAGGGAAAAAAAAATTAAAAAAAAGAAGAAGAAGAAGAAAAAAGAAACACAACACCCTCGTGATATCAAAGTAAATAATCGTGCAGGGGGAGGCGGGGGAAGGGGTGAATTTAGCAATGTTAAAAGCTAAACAACAGATCTATCTCCGGACGCTGCTGCTTCACTCAATTGCAACTAATAACCCATTAAAGACAGCGCAGGGGAAACTGAATTCTCTCCTGCAAAGCGACATAAATCCAGCGAAAACCCATTAAACCGCCGCCACCGCCACCAAGCCACGCAGCACTACACACCACAGCAAACAACAGGTATACAACACAATAGGGCTGGTTTTCCTGGTTACCTCCTCGGGATCCAGTGTGGCACAAAGCACTGGGAGAGCCTCCTTTTTTTTTTTTTTGCAACGCGCTTCGGTAATTTTCATTAAAAAAAAAATTAAAAATAAAAAAGAGGGAAGGAGGTGAAGGGGGGGAGGGAGGGGAGAGGAATAAATGGGTAGTAATTCGGTAAAATAAAATAAAATAAATGAACTAGAGTCTGCTGGTGTTTCTCCGGGCCATGGATGTGCAGGATCCCGATCGTTAGAAGTTTGCGGATGGGTTGCCTGGAGATTTGGTTACAATCAGGTTCATTTTTTTTTTTTTTCCTCCTGAAACAAGTGAAGGCGATGGTTACTGCTGTCAATCTTGGCAATCAATGTGAGCGGCCATGTCGTAAGTATTCAAAGCATTTCCCGTCGTGCAACATCAGAAAGTGAGTGGCCAGGGCATTGATCTGAGGAAGGCAAAAGGAGGCAGGGCTCCCCCGCCCAGACAGCACAGGCAAGATGAGACAACACAGGGAGAGAGAGGAGGGAGAGGGGAAGGGAGGGAGAGACACACACAGAGAGAGAGAGAGAGAGAGAGGCTGGGAGCGAGCGGGGAGAGCAACAACTGCGGAGAAAGTGAGCACAAAACAGAAAGTGAAATCGGCGCGGGCTGCCAGCCGCATCCCCGCGCAGCTATCACCACTCACAGGGCCATTAGACACATGAAACCCTACACCGCTCCGCTCCCGCTAATGACCACTGATTGCCCGGAGTGGTGAGGAAAGGTACTAGAAAGTTACCGGGGAGGGGGTGCGAGGGCGGGGCGGGGGCCGGAAAAGGAGGAGGGGGAGCGGGGGGGTCCCGGGGGAGCCGGTTCGCGGGGCCGGGGCGGCGCGGGGGGAGCCGAGTCACACGGGGCCGGCCCGCCCTCCGCCCGCCCTCCGCCCGGGGACGCACACGCCGGGAGAGTCCCGCCGGCTCCCGGGATACAGCAGGGAAATAAAACCACCCGGGAAAAGGAGGAGAGGAAAAAAATAAAATAAAAAAGCTGGAGGAAGACGATGTGCGGGAGGAGGGAAGGGCTGGCGGCGTGGGGAGGGAGCGGGGACGACGAGAGGGAAGCACTCAGCAAGCGCTTAGTGACAGCTGATAAATGGGTCTCCGAAGAGCCCGATCCGGCAGCACGGCCGGGAGGGGGGGAAAAAATTTTAAAAATTAATAAAAAAAATTAAACAGGCGGGTGGGGGTGATGGGGGGGTCGCGGGGGGCAGATGAAATAGAAAGTATAAATTACACCAGAGATGGGAGTCCAGCTACAGGGACCTGGGGGAGAGAAGGCACTCAGAGCCCACAAACTATTTAGTGATGGATTCAGCAGAAAGGTGAAAAGTGAGTGCAGTGAAAAGGGAAAGACAGGTATGGCCGCAGAGGAAAAACTGATTTAGGACGGACTTGAGCTGAAGTTGGGATTCTCGTGGCGACGACGAGAAATTTTAGCAGCGGCAATATATAAATATCCCTCTCTCTGCCTACCAAAAGGCAACAGATAAGGACTGGAATATCAGCTTGAATACCAATTTAGGAACTCACGCTCTCTTGGAAGTGCTAATTGGGGATTGGGGGGGGGGGGGAGAGATCTGGGAGAAAGAAGGGGGAAAACTATAAGGAGCTGAGGAGAAAATCAACCAGTGGCAGAGTACTGCAAACCCAGGAAAGTCTCCCTGCTGTATTTTTGCATTCCAAAGGTAAACATAAAAGAGTCTTTCAAACTGTCAGGGGCCCGCAGATCAGGTGGGCAAACAGCGCTGCAGAGAGAACGTCTCCCTCTTTTGATATTATTCACACCTAGGCTAAACTGTTGTTAAGATGGGAGTGCGGAAAGCAACCTCAAGCCCACAAAATGAGAGAGAGAAGTTGTTGATTCATCTCTGTATTTTTGGCACTTTCTCCCCATTTTCCAGAAGGCGCCTGGAACAGTTAGTAACAGACAAACTTTTTAATTTTAAAATAGCTTCATAACTTATAGAGGCCAAAAAGACGAGGAGAGAGCCTCATTTCACTTTCCTTCTCTCTCAAGTAGAAATTTGCAGACTAGGTTAGACCCAGAAGTACACTCAGCCCCACTGCGAATGAAGCTGGCTTCAGCAGGACGTGATGAAAATTGAACATTAACGCGGTGGCACAGGACAGATATGACCTGGCTCTGATTCATTTTGTTAACAAGCTGTAAAACTCGACACACTGCTGGAGGCATGCACGTTGCATCCTCTGCCTTTGCTATCCGAGGTGCTATCGCCCCTCTCGAGCCGAGTTCAGGGAAAAGGAGTTGTAAGTTAGACCCTCTTGGAACAGTGGACCTGTTTTATACAACATTTTTGGCAATTCCACTACAATAAAAGGAGTAACCAAGTCCTATTCGGCAAGAAGCAAGCACCTTGAAATAGAACTTTATAATTATCTAGTAAAGCTTTATCATCAAATTCGCTGATGAGGGCATAGTAGCTAATTTCCATGCATTCTTTCAATTTTAATAGCAGACACTTAAAAAGTGGAATTCAGAGATGAGGGCAAATTGTATGATTGCAAATACTGAGTTTGTATTCACCTGCATTCGGCTAATTCAAAGTATGCACCTTGCTGCAGTTACCCGGTGTATGGAATTAACGACAGTAAATAGCTGCCTTTCGAGATATTATTCTGTCATTTTTAATCTTTAATTATGAGAATTCCCGCGATTGGCCACTAACGCTTTCCTTGTAACACATTTAAACCTGCTGCAAGTAAAGGAAATACCTTGACTTTTTGCACAACTAGTGTAGCTTTGGCACGCAAAAAGATTTTTTAAAAATTAAAATGAGCTACGTAAGAGAAGAGATGTAAATCAGAATACAAAGACGAATAGACTGCCTCAGTCTGCAACTCTAGCAATTTGTTGCTGGAAGTTTTTTTCTTCCAAGAAACAGAAATGTAAAAAACAACCCAAGCACACCTCAAACGTAGTTCCTTATTAAACAAGAAGCGGGAATGGGACAAGAGATAATTAAGGCATTAGATACATCTAACTGCCCACCTAGCTCCAAATCGGGGGAGCATCCCGCTGCACTCCAGCGCAGGGAATGACACTGGGCTGGGGCAGGACACGGCAGGGATGCGGCCAGGAACGCTCTCCAGCTTGTTGCTTCCCCTGTGTGATCAATTAAGTTACAGATGCAACTCACAGCGCCCGAGAGCGGCAACTTCTCGGCGGCAGGAAAAGAGGATTCCTTGGGCATTGTATGCAAATGTGAGTGAGTGTGTGTGTGTGTGTGTGCGCGCTGCACGGGGATAATTGTGATTCCCTCTTTGTTTGCATAAGTGAACACCCGCCGTGCGGATCCGTATACACGTGCCGAGAAACAAGAAAACGCTTCCACTTGGAGCCCTACCCCACGTTTAGACAGCGCCTTTGGAATTACTGCCCTTGCTTTGGCTTCATGAGGGCTAAAGGCAGGCAGATGTTAGGGAGGGATGCCGACCTGCTGGGGGTGCCTGCGCAGGGAAGGGACCGCAGGCGCTCACATCAGGTCGGGGCACTTACCTGTGCACAGCTGTCATGGCATTTTGCGCCGTGTGTCCCACCAAATGCGGTAAAGTAAAGCAACATTCAACAAGCGAGGCAACCTGTCTGTGCGCCAAGTTGTACGTACCGCATCTTTAACCTGAGCAGCAAACCTGCAACTCCTGGAGAGTTGGCGGAACAGTCTCAGAAGTTTTGGATTCAAAGGGCAAGAAATTTCACTTTAAAAGTCATTCACCCACTACTATACTGCCCTCTCACCCCAGTTAATGCCGGACAATTAAGAGGCACGTTTATAAATTCCCTCTGCGGACACTGTCCGACAATGAAGGCTTGTTATAGGCTTGCTAAAGATGTTCAGAGAAACTTTTGCGAAATAATCAACAGCATCTGAGAGAAAGCTAAAGGAAAAGAAGTTAGAGCCTGATAATCCAATTGGGAAAAAGTTTTGTTAGGCTGGATAGAAGTAAATTACTGCACGTTTCTTCAAAAGCAAACCCATCAGCTGATACGAGTTCCCCTAGAACAAGAACCTCTGGCGAACTCCTCCAAATTTAGGGGACGTTTGCATTTTGTAACACTCAAAGCTAAAGATCTGCCTGAAAACAAAAACTCTGAATTCTTTACAGAGTCATCTGCCAACAAAATGTATTGTCTTGGCAGAAAAAGGATCAAGGAGATTTAAATTTCATTTTAAACTGTGCATCAAAAAAAAAACGAAGGAAAAAGCCGCAGCAACAATCTCCCCGCTCCACGCCCCCGTCGTTCAAAAAAAAAA